GCTTATGGTGGCTAATGCTAGCTAACGTTAGCAAACTGCAGAGTGATATTACACATACATGCTCAGATATTACAGTATATCTAAAATTCATTGTATACTGTAAGATTATATATATTTTTATTCTTTATTTTCTATTTTGGATACTGTTTTATACTCTACTACAGTGCTACAGTTTTATTACTGTTATTCCATTATCGTTACTTTTGACACACAGTAGCCATTGTTGGAAGACATTACATAGTATTGCCTTAACAGTGATTATAAAAGGCAACTACATAGGTTAATTACTTTGCCAATCTTCCCTTGAATTGATTGTCCCCACTGTGTGTTTGGTTGACAGCCCAGTAAAGCGAGGAGCGACTGTAAGGAGCTAAAGATGCTGTGTGCTGAGGACGAGCAGAGCAGGACCTGCTGGATGACAGCCTTCAGACTGCTCAAAGTACTTCCCTTCCTTTCATATGTTATTAACATGAATTCATTTGTCTGCTCTTGGAAACATGACCTGATGCCATCTCTCCTCTCTTGTGTCTACACAGTATGGGATAGTACTCTATCAGAGCTACAACGTTCCCCAGCAGAGGAAGTCTAACCTCTCGCCTTTCTCTGCGCCTGTGGTGAGAATCTGCTCTCTGACATCACCTTCTTACAACCCCGCTCTAATGCGCCCACTCAGCCAAGACCAATCTAGATTGATCCATTAATTAGCTGATGGTGAATTGGAAACCAGTTCACTTTGTGGCCACCTTGTTCCTCGCTCTTCTTAAGAGTAACACACAACCACGGGCTGGATCACTTTTCCATTTAGCATAAGGAATGGACTTCTATTTTTTCCATTTCAATGCTGCCGTTGACATTCAGTAATGAGGTGAAACCAGTGCTCTGTAGTGAAAGGCTTATGGTCCAGATTCAGGTCAGACCACTCATTTAAACAAACAGCAGTCTATAACAAAAGTACATCCGACACAGAACATCTTATCCCAGAGTTATTTAGAAGAGTGAACATTTACATAATGCTCAGCAAACAGAAACCTTGAAGCATAATTGTGTGCTGTGTTACACTAAGACTAATCACCTCACACCAGGAGGTGTTTAATGTTGCATGTGTTGTGTTTTTGTCTTTTAACATCTTGGGACCACGTTGGAAAGTAGTGTTTTCACTGGGCTTAGTATTAGTATTATATCACAAAGAGGGATTGGTATAGTATTATATCACAAAGATTGTGAATGATTTTTTATCCTTTTTTTCTGTTATAAAAGAGAAAAAAGCAGGAAAAACATTGGAGAAGCTGGAACCAGA